CCTTCTACTGTTCTTCTCTTTCAGGTCTCTGATTGTCAGTGTTGTAATTCAGCATTTTTTTTTTTTGGCTCCTGCTTTGCCACGTGGCAGCGGCGGTGGCAGCAACAGCAGGGCTGGTGAGAATACCAAAGGCAATAGGAAGGCAGTGACGGGTGCTAGGCAAGCAGGAGTGCCAGGAGGGGAAGACAGCCCTTGTGGCCCTCTCCTATGGATGACCCGCGGCTAGCTGTGCTATCTCCCTACTCCCATAGATTTGAAGAAGAGAGGGAATAAGGAAGAAAAGGAGGGAGGGAGGAGAGGAAGTAGAAAGAAACAAAGAAAGAGGCAAAGAGGTAGTTTGGAGGGGGCTGAGGAAGAGTGCAGGATGAGAGACTCTGATAGTCTGGGTTTAGGTCAGCTCTCTTCAGCTGTATCTTTATATTGGGCGCAGAAGAGGCCCAGAACTGTGGCAAGAAAGGGAAAGAGAGCCATATTGCCTACCATAACCTGGGACTCCTGATGGAATTAGGCTCAGCCACTGCCCCTGCTTCTCCACTGCCTTCACAGAAAAATTGGCAATGGGGATGGAGAGAACGGAAGGAGGCTCCACGTGTGTGCTTTCTGGGGCATCTGCCCTTTGTTAAGAGTGTTCTTGTTCAGTCATTTGCAGTGGTGTCTGACTCTTCGTGACTCCACTTGGGGTTTTCTTGGCAGAGATAGTGGAATGGTTTGCATTTCATTCTCCAGCTCATTTTACAGATGAGGAAACTGAGGCAAACAGGATTAATCAATTTGCCCAGGGTCATACAGCTCATAAGTGTTTGAGGCTAGATTTGAACTCACAAAGATGAGTCTTCTTGACTCCAAGTCCCACACTCTATCCACTTTGTCACCTAGTTGCCCACTTAAGAGTGGTAAAAAAGAAATCTGTCTGGACTCTCATTTTCTTTGTTAAAAACGGAAAGAAAGAAAATTGGAGTCCAGACGGATTTCTGTCCAACTCTACTCTGGGACATCCTTTTTCTAAGCAATGGGCAACTCAAGGGAAAATATTAGTTTAATGACTTGCTCAGCTCCCTGTAAAAAGCTAGTGATGAGTTGGGAAGTCAGTATAGAAGACAGAGATGCATCCTAAAGCCTTGGGGGGTGGAGGGGGGATGAATGTGGGAAGCTATTTCCCATTCCTGTCCCTGCTTTAGAGCATCAGAAATTCCAAGGTGAGCCCTTGACTTGCAATTCATTGGGGAAGCTCATGCTGTTTTAGGTTGGGGATGGAGAGGCTGAGAATCACAATGAAGACAGATTCTAAAGATGTCGGAATAGTCTGGACCTTGCAATAAACCATCTCCCTAGTGTTCTTGGGCATCCAATGATTGAAGGGAGTAGGACACAAGACAGGTACCCCTACCACAGTTATATGCTTCTCTAATTCTCACTTCTCCCTTTTTCTTACCTCATCTCCCTCCCTCCCTCCCTCCCTCCCTCCCTCCTTCCCTTTCTCCCTCCCTCCCTCCTCAGTTCTAGTTCTGGCTCCACTACTAAGTTACCATGTCACCTTAGCTAAATAATTTCACCTCTCTAGCTTTTGGATTCCCCATCTATAAAATGGGGGTTGAACCAGATGATCTCTAGGCTCTTTTCTCCAATTCCTTCCCACAGCAGAAGGAAGAAAGCCCATCACCCTAAGATGGAGCCCGATTGACTTCCACTTGCTTGTCCATTCCAAACAGTCTGTGATTCTATGATTTTTCCCCCTCTGAACCTCAGTGTTCCCATCTGTTAAAATGAAGGCTTTAAAAATCATAAGATTTAGAGCTAGAAGAAAACATAGAGGTCATTTAGTCTAACCCTCACATTTTACAGATGAGGAAACTGAGGTCCAGAGTGACTTGCCTAAAGCCACATAGGTACAAAGTGACCGTCTAGGTTTTGAAACAAAGCCTTCTGATGCCAGATCCAACACTTTCTCTACTATATCACAATGATTCCATAGGACTTGGATTAGAGGACTTCTGAAGTGCCCTCCAGCTATAGCATTCCTAAATTCTATCATTTTATAAATCTTTTTTTTCTTCCCTTATGTTGGTCTTCCTTTTATTTTTCCTCATTTCTTTCTTGACCCTCAGGTATTGCATAACTCCTTTCTAACTGCCAGCAAGAAGGGGTGTTAGGGTCAAAGGAAGAGCACACGGGTCATGAAACATCAGTGTTTGCTGTCACATTACGCATCTGGGCTAGATGGTTCAGTGAGCTATAGCACTTGGCAGACTGGGGAGGAAGTTAGTCGGAGACTCATGGAGCCAGCCAGCTTCCAATGGATTGCAAAACAAGGCTTATCTTCAAAGTTTTTTCCTCTGTCATCAAAGTAGCTGAGCTCCAGGGAACAAAGGGGAGTCTTTCCTGAGCTTAGGGACATCCCCTCTCTCTGGCAGTCAGAGGTAATATTCTTTTAAATTCTCCTATCTCTTCTCCCATTATTTTCCCCTGTGGTACAAGAATATTAGATTTGGTGTTACATAAAGAGTCATTAAACAATAGATTTAGACCTGAAAGAGAACTTGGAGGCCATCTGGTTCAGTTCTTTCATTTTACAGATGAGAAAACTGAAACAAAAATGTTAAGTGACTTCCCCAGGGTCACATAGATAGTAAGTATCAGAGGCAAGATTTGAATCCAGGTCTATTGACTGCATATCCAGAATTTTTTTCCACTGTACATCTTGGATTCCACTCTTAACTTAGCTTTGCCACTTCTCCCTGCGTGAACTTCAGCAAATCTCACTTCCCTGGCCTTCAGTTTCCTTATCTACAAGGATTGGACCAGATAACCTCTAAATTCCCATTCACTTCTGAATCTACAATCCTATTCTCTAGGGTAAGCAGAGTAATGAACAGAAAGCTGGGCTTGGAATCTGGAAGATTTGACTTCAAATCCTGATTCTGTGTAATTATGGGCAGGTCACTTGATATCTCTGCCTCGGTTTCCTCATCTGCAAAATGGAGGCTACGTTGACTATATCTCACAGGATTAACACAAGGTTCAAATGAGATAATATATGTTCAGCATCATAAAAATGAGTCAGTATTACGACTCTGTGATTGGAACCACATCCACTCCCCAAGTGCTCCTCAGTGCGCACTTGAGAGATGGAAGAATGAGCAGAGACTAGGGCCTTGGCTCCACCTCTGACTCACCACATGGCCTCTAGCAGTCACTGATGAAATGAAGAGAATTGCCCTTCCACCTGCTCCGCCTCCCCAGGAGGCTGCGAGGCTGAAGTTTACCGCGCCCAGCAGACAGCTCAGAACTCAGCCACCTCTCAACTTCTCTTGGAGCATCTGCCCGCGTGGGAGTAAGTCCGGCAGCTTGGATGTTCCAGCTTCCTGATGCACAGCCCATAGGGCATTTCACTGTTATCCCTGGCTCTGATCCTCTGCTGGAGGAGGTTGGGGGAGGGAGATAACAAGCATAGTCTGAACTTCCAGAATGAATAAGCACAGTGGAAAATCAGGTTGTATCCAACGGTCATTTTGCACTGGCTAATCTTGTTACTTTTGAAACTGTTCCTCCTTGGTTTGCCATGGACATTCTTCAAGGCCCCATTCCAATCTCACCTCCTCCATGGGACCTTCCTTGACCACTCCACTGTGGGCTGCCACACTGCTGAATAGTGCTGTAATGGTTTTTTGACTACCCTAGGCACCGGAGATCAGCCCCCTATTGTGTCATTAGATCCCTGCAGGGAGGCACCATCTGCCTCTCCTTTGCCTCCTCCCAACGCCCTATACATAGTAGGCCCTTTGTGAATAAATGAACAAATAAGGAGGCAGCTGCTTCCGTGATGTGACCCTAATAGGCTGGTCTGCCAGGTATCTCTCCCCCACCATCTTGTCACAGAGCCTCATATTCACTCTTAATCATCTTTCGGTTAAGGCACTGAAGCCCTGAGGTAAAATCATGCATTATTTTCTGGGGTGTGGGTAGCACATTCAGCCATTAGAGATCACTTTTGCCCCACATTCCTGGTGAAGGCATAATGGAATAGGGCATAGGACCAGTAGATGGGCACTAGGAAGCACCATGATGAAAAACATAAAGGTTTAAGGTTAACAGATAGGTCTGCAATACAGACAGTGACCAGCAAAAGGGAATTGACCTGGGGAGGGGTTGGGTGGGAAAGGGGAGGGAGAAGGAGGAGAAGGTCCTGTGTGGAGGGGGAAAGGGAACCCACCAAAGGCAGATGGAAATACATTTAGGTCACTGTGCTGCCTCCAGGCAGACTATAACTTGAAATAAATGCTTGTTAAAATAGCTCACATTTATGTAATGGTTTGCTATTTGCAACTGAAAGCCAGCATGGCATTAAGAGGTTGTGTGGTGAGGTGGAAAGAGAGCTGGCCTCAGAGCCAGAAGGACTTGGGTTCAAGTCCTGACACATACATACACACTGCATGAACTCAGCAAAGTCATTCAATCTCTAAGGATTCTAAACAACTCTAATCTTGTTGTGTTACAGAGAAATTATCAAAACCTGCATTGGTAGAGGAAGTATTCTCATCCAAGAGTTCTCTATAATAATAACAGTTAATATTCAAAGTTTAAAAGGTGCTTTATGTACATTATCTCAGCTGATTCTTATAACAACCTGTGCTATTATTATTCCCATTTTATGGAGGGAAAAACTGAAGCAGAGAGGGGTTATGTAATTTCTCCAAAGTCTTACAGCTAGTAAGGGATGAGGGCAAAATTCAAACTCAGATCTTCCTGACTCCATGTCCAGCACTATCCACTATGCCATCTTGCTTCCTATATCAGTGTAATCATAGGTCCCGTACCAATATTAATCCCTATTTCTTTGCCATTATGAAGCACTACCCTTACAGCAGCCCTATGAGACAGGCAGTGCAAATAATGTTACATCCATTTTATAGATGGAAAAACTCATTCAAAGAAGATGAAACATCACCTATGACTACACCGATTTAAATCCTATCTCGTGTCTCCCCTGTGCCCTGCTGCAGGTCTGAGGCTTTTGCTATGACCGAAGCCTTCCCACAGAGCCAGGACGTGCCCCTGCAGCCAAATCAGCATCAGGTTCCCTTCCTGCCCTCCCGGCCTTTGGCCCCACATCACCATGGGCAGCGTCAGCAGCCTCATCTCAGGCCACAGCTTCCAGGGCAAGCACTGCCGGGCCTCACAGTACAAGCTTCGTAAGTCCTCCCATCTAAAGAAACTCAACAGGTATTCAGATGGGCTGCTGAGATTTGGCTTCTCCCAGGACTCGGGTCATGGCAAATCAAGTTCTAAAATCGGCAAGAGCGAGGATTTCTTCTACATCAAGGTCAGTCAGAAGGCCCGGGGCACCCACCGGACAGACTACACCTCGTTGTCCAGCGGGGAGATGGGAGGCCAGACTGGGATGGACTTTGGCACACCCCCAAAGCTTATGCCTTTCTCCAATCAGCTGGAACTGGTAAGTAGGGGTCTCCAAGGGTAGGTGGCAGAAGATGGGTGATTAGAAGGGCTTGCTTTTTAGGGCTATGAGGAAGGTACTCGGTGGTGGTGGTGGTGATATCATACCACACTCTACACATCCCAATTTGATAAGTTTTTCATTTAAATGTTTTAAGTTAAAGCTTTGATCAACTATCACAACCATGAACAATTACATCATCTATGACTTGTTCTTGATGTCCAGCATCCTAAAATGCTATGGCTTTTCCCAGGTCCATGATTCTTGGTAGATAGGACCACAAACTTCCATTGCCTCCAGCCCACATGCAGAATCTGTCCCATGCAATATAGGAAATGCCACATGAGTCAGTTTCATAGTCTACCCAACCCAAGACTCCATCTCTGACAGGCATGTAGGGGATGTGATATGGAAGGACAAACTAGAGGTGTACCCCATCTGGAAGTCAGAAATACCCCATCCCCATGGGGAGAAAAAGAATACTCTTAAAATAATCTTGGGTTTCCTGGGTAATAGATGGGAATATTCACCATCTAGCCAATAAGGAACAAGAGTTAAGAAAACTGGTCCCTATTCTACCAATGAACAAGGGGATACCCCTTGAAAATTTTTTATGTGATCCTGAGTGAGAGATGGAGAACAAGACCATAGACTTTTCAGAGAAAAGGTTAACAATATGGCAGCCTTAAAAGGTCCTATGGAGGGAAAAAGACATCTTTCATTTCAAGATTTTGGTGATAGTTCATAGGATTACAAGCTTTAGAATTGGAAGAAATGCTAAAGATTTATTCCTACCCATACATTTTACAGAGGAGGAACCTGAGGTCCAGAAAGGTGAAGTTGCCCAAGGTCACCAAGGTCACACAGGTAGACAAGGTCAGGCTTTTAGACCTTCAGATCCTTTGACTCCCAAAGCAGAAGGCAGGTGATAGGTGGACCTCTCACAGGATGGATATCATCAAGTCCTTCTGGACACAAGGCATTTTCCCTCTTGAGACAGTATTAGAACATGATCCCTCCTATATGGCAGGCCACTTCATCTACAAAGTTACCTGTAGAGAAATAATCCCAATATGAAAGGGTATAGCACTTGCAATGAAATCTTAATCTAGGAATTGTTATGGTGCCAAAGAAAGAGTAATTGCCCTGGAGTTGGAAGACCTGGCCTTAAACATCACCACAGACACTCACACCCATGTAACCTTAGACAAATCACTGAACTCATGAGCCTCGGTTTCCTCATCTATAAAATGAGAGAGTTGGAGTAGATGGTTTCTGAGGCCCCTTCTAGCTCTCAGCCTATGATCCCATTACCCTTCTAGCTCTAGGATCCTATGACATGCCCTTATTTAGTATATTCCTCTTTCTCCAAGAGGCCAACCCAGAAACTTTGAGGATCTTTCCCTCCCAGACTGATATTTTTGTGATGGTGAACTAGGCTGATGACTTTGAGCAGCTCTACCTCACTTCAATTCAATTCACACACAAGTCAGGATCACCCTAGTGATGTCATTAGTCCTCTTTGAGAACGAAGGATGAACAGCAACAAGTAAGGTAGTGGCTAGAGCATCTGGCCTGGAGTCAGGAAGATCTGAGTTAATATTTGACCTCAGACACTTACTAGCTGAATGTCCCTGGACAAGTCACTTAACTCTTATTTGCCTCAGTTCCTCGTCTGTAAAATGGGGACACACTGGAGAAGGAAATGGCAAATCATTCCGGTATCTTTGCCAAGAAAACCCCATGGACAAAGTCCATGGGGTCACACAGATTTGGACAAGACTGAACAACAGCAATAACTTTCACATTCCAAGGACAACCCTCTATCTACTATATATACACCATGATGTTTCTCGTTATTATCACAACCTCCCCAACTCCATCATCATTATTATTTCTAGCCAGAGAGGGAGGAAAGAGAAAAATATTGAGGGGAGAAGCTATTAAGGAATCTGGTTCTTTCTCTTCCCTAGGGCTCAGAAAAAAGCATTGCAAGGCCGACAGCATTCAAGCCTGTGTTGCCGAGGTCAGGGGCCATTCTCCACTCTTCCCCCCCAGAAAATGCCAGCCACCAACTGCACCCGACTCCTCTGGATAAAGCCAAGGATCAGGAGCTGAAACCCACCCTGTGCTCAGGGGCACTGTCTGACTCAGGTCGGAACTCTATGTCCAGCCTCCCCACTCACAGCACCAGCAGCAGCTACCAGCTGGACCCCCTGGTCACCCCCGTGGGGCCCATCAATCGCTTTGGGGGCTCCGCCCACAACATCACCCAGGGTGCCATGCTCCAGGACAGCAACATGATGAGCCTGAAGGCCTTGTCCTTTTCTGATGGAGGCAACAAGATTGGCAACCCGAGCAAAGCAGACAAGGCTGCCTGCATCCGCTCGCCCCTCTCCACGGATGAGTGTACCATCCAGGAGCTGGAGCAGAAGCTGCTGGAGAGAGAGGGGGAGCTGCAAAAGCTTCAGTGCAGCCTGGAGGAGAAGGAGCTGGCCTCCAGCCAGGCCTATGAGGAGAAGCAGCGGCGCTGCCAGGAGGAGCTGGACGGACTGAAGCAGAAATGCAGCAACAAGCTGAGGCAGGCCTCCCAGAAGAGCCAGCGGAGCCAGCAGGCTCTGCAGCTCCAGGTATTCCAGCTGCAGCAGGAGAAGAAGCAGCTGCGGGGAGAACTGGAGAACCTCATGAAGGAGCAAGACCTGCTGGAGACCAAGCTGAGGTCCTACGAGAAGGAGAAGACCAACTTTGCCCCTGCCCTGGAGGAGACCCAGTGGGAGGTGAGACTTGAGGCGGTGGGGAGGGGGCTCCTCGCCTGGAAATCAGAGCCAGAAGGACTTTGAGAATCCAGCTCAGGTGCTGCAAGGCCCTCTATAAAGGTCAAATGAGATTAATAATAATTAACAATAATAATTAATACTAATACAAACATTTATATAGCACTTGCTTTGTGCCAGGCATTGTGCTAAGTGCTTTACCGTTATTATCTCATTTGGTCCTCACAACAATCCTGGAAGATTAAATTCTTTATTATTATCCCCATTTTAATAATAATAACAATAGCTAACGTTTATATCACGCTTACTATGTGCCAGGCATTGTGCTAAGTGCTTTATACTTATCTCATTTGGTCCCCACAACAACTCTGGGAGGTAAGTTCTATTACTATCCCCATTTTAATAATAATAATAATAATAACTAACATTTGTATTATATTTACTGTGTGCCAGGTATTATGTTAAGTGCTCTATAATTATTAACTCATTTGGTCCTCACAACAACCCTGAGAGGTAGGTGCTATTATTATCCCTATATTACAGTTGAGGAATCTGAGGCAAGCAGAGGTTAAGTGACTTACCCAGGGTCACACAGTAAGTGTCTGAGGCCAGATTTGAACTCAGATCTTCCTGACTCTAGGCCTGGTGCTCTATCTATTGTACTCCCTAGATGCCCCACATTATTTTTAAAGCCCTTATTGCAAAGCCAGACACATAGCAGACTTTTGAAAAATGCTTCTTCCCTTCCCCCACTTTTTCCAATTGTATTTGACTCTTTATGACTCAATTTGGGGTTTTCTTGTCAAAGATGCTGGAGTGGTTTGCCATTTCCCTTTCTAGCTCAATTTATAGATTGAGGAATTGAGGTAGCCAGGGTTAAGTGACTTGCCTAGGGTCAACCAACTAGTAAGTGTCTGAAGCCACATTTGAACTCAGGTCTTCCTGACTCTAGGCACAGCACTCTCTCCACTGTGCCAACCCTCTAACCATATCCGTCTAGAAGTTATTCAATCATAGAACCATACGTCATAAACTTAGGGCTCCAAGGCACCTTTGAGGCCTTAAAGTCTAACCCCTTCATTTTACAAATGAGGAAACTGAGTCAGTAAGGGATTATATGACTCACTCAGGGTCACACACAACAAGTATCTGAGACAGAATTCAAATTCAGGTTTTTCTGACTCCAAAGCCAGACCCACTATCTGCTCCGTCACCTAGCTGCCTCTCATATCATCTTGAGCTATACCCACACCTTAAGCAGCCTAGTGAGTACATCTATACTCAGTTCTGGAGAAGACTATGTAATGGAAGGTAGAAAGGCAAATGACAACTTTATGATGTCTCCAAATCAAAGAATCCCAAAAGGTCATCAGTCCTTCAGGTAGGATAACCTCTAGACGTCCAATGACCCAGCGGTAGGAATCTTCTGGAATCCTTTTCACTAGAAGTGGATGAGAATAATGGCAAGAACTAAAAGATGAAGAATCTTAGTGTAAAGGTACAGAGAGTCTGGGAGAGAAGGTTACTCTTGTTTTACCCAGGTTTCCCAATGATTGGTGCACGACCTCTTTCTTTTTTCTGTGCAAAACACTATTGTCTAGGGGGCAGAACCCCTATTTCCCACTAGTATCATCCAAAGATGTCTGTGATGTACTACTCTGTGTTGGCTTTTTACTGCCTTGTGCATTTTATTTGCAATTTATTGATAAATTTTGTTATTATGAATTTAATAAACATGAAATAGAATGGGCATTTACATGTGTATATAAGATGGGGAGGGGAGAGAGGGAGAGAAAGAGAGAGAGAGAGAGAGAGAGAGAGAGAGAAGAACAGAGAACGGTGATTGTACATGAAATTGCAGGTCTGTATTATGTGTGGCTTTCTTTTCTTTTGAAATATGTAACTTTTTTTGAAGTCTTCTTTCTGACCTTCCTTCTGTCCTTTTGTCTCCATTTTTGAGAAAGATGTCTCAATTATCCTCTTTTCTTTTCTTTTTTATGTTTTTGGCCCTACCCTATCTCTCTTCTCCATTGCTTCCTCATTCCTCACCCCATTGGGAAAAACGGAAAAAATAAAGCCCTAGTAACAAATATACAGTTAAACAAATTCCAACATTGGCTGTGTCCATTCTTCATTTTGAGTCCATCGTCTCTCTCTGTCAAGAGGTAGGTAGCAACCCTATGCCAATTGTAGAGCAGGGCACAGAAGGATAGAGAGGGTGGGTGTAATGATAGAAAGGAGAAAAGATGGCTGATGAGTGTGGGTATATGAATGGGTATAGGTGATATTGTAGTAAAGAATAAAGATAAGAATCCACTGAAGTATTACTCAGATGCTTTATTATAGAGTAGGAAGAACTTGAGCTAGTGAAGTCTTAAAGACTAGTGCAGTCTTCCATTGGAACATAAACTGTGTGACAGGCTCTATTGGGCTGAGAAGCATTTTGAGTGCATCAATGTTTAGATGGATTCTGCACTTGTCATCTGAAGACCAGAGTAGCTAAATTTTGAGAGGCTCATCACCAGGTTAGCTACAGAACGAAGGGGAGAGAGGGGGAGAGAGACAGAGAGAGAGAGACACAGAGACAGAGAGACAGACAGACAGACAGACAGAGAGACAGAAAACACTGGTTTGGACAGTAGCCACATTAAGAAAATCAAAGATCCTTAAAGTGAAATGAAGTAATAAAAATATCCCCTACCCTGGCCTCAATTTCCTCATTTGTAAAATTGTAAAATTATAAAATTTGGACTAGATCAAGGGTTCTTAACCCTTTTATTTAGTGTATCATGGACTCTTTTGTTAGTCTGATGAAGCCTGCACACCCTCCTCAGAGTAATGTGTTTAATTGCATAAAATAAATAGGATTTCAAAGGAAAAGTTATTTTGAAATAAACATTTTTTTCCATCCAAGTAAATGGACTCCTTGTAAATGTACCTACAGTCTGAGGACCCTCTTGTCTAGATGTTCTCAAAGGCCCCTTCTACCTCTAAATCCTATTACCTTAAAAGATATCTTTAATACATAATACATATCTTTAATACACAATATGTAATACATATGTATCTTTAACACATAATAAATAGATAATAATAGATAATCCATAATACCTAGAAGTAGAAATGCATTTATATATAGATACAGATACTAGTATAGTTCTGCAGATCTGGGTATTGATGACAAGCACTTAAGCATATCGAAAGATATATAGGAGGCAGCTAAATGGCACAATGAATAGAACACTGGACTTCTAATGAAGAAGACTGACGTTCATATCTGCCTCAGACAGATGGCCATATGTGACTCTGGGTAAATCACTTCATCTCTTAGCCTCCGTTTCTTTATCTCTAAAATGGGGATAATAATAGCACACACTGACATGATTGATGTGAGAATCCAATGAGATAACATACTTGCAGCATTTTGTAAATCTTGAAGCTGGGGCATGCTGGTCAATGTTTAACATTCAGCTGCATGACACTCTTCTAAGTTGAATCTTCATTATTAACATTTTATCCATCACTTTCATAAGTCTAGACAATCAACAAAACAATAAATCAAGTCCCAATTTGCAGTATTTGCCAATTTCCAAGGTATAAATGCTTACACTGAAAATTTAACAATCAGCTTGCCTGTTAGAGCTGGCTTCATCATCACCCCTGCCTTAAAGCACTACATACACTGCTATTATTGGATTATGGAACATAGAAAGAATGTCAGAACTGCAAGGAAACTTCAAGACCATCAAGTTCAGCTTTCTAGGTGTAGCTCTAAAGCTAATAAGTGTCAGAACAGAGATTCAAATCCAAGTTGTATGGTTCCAAATCCTAATATTTGTCATAGCTATACATACAGGTAGAGGTGATAATCATAATGATGATAACTAAAATTGACATAGAGCATTAAGTACTGCAAGGCATTTTACACCTTTTTTATCTCATTCGATCCTCACAACAACCCCATGAGGTGGGTACTAGAGTTAGATGACCTCCATTTTACCAATGAAGAAATGGGATGCTATGTGACTTAAGAGATTTAAATGACTTGCCACTGGGCACACTTAGTTTTCAAGTAACGAATTTGAATTTGATCCCAGGTCTTTCTAATTCCAAGTCCAACACTCTCTCCCCTATGCCATATAAATATCCCTAGAAATCATTTGGGGCAGCTAGGTGGCCCTGGGGTCAGGAGGACCGGAGTTCAAATCCAGCCTCAGACACTTACTAGCTAGCTGTGTGACCCCAGGCAAGTAACTTAACCCTGACTGACTGAAAAAAAGGAGGAAAAAAGAAAGAAATCTTTTAGTTCAAATCTTTCAGAAACAGACTTGGTTAGTGGTGAAGTAAGCTTATGGATACACCAGTGCCTGAGTCTGAAAGCTGAGTGAACTCCCCAGTTTGATCCACAGACTGAAAAAAAACTGGAAAATATCAGCCCAAGCCCCTGAAACTACCTGAACAGCTACATAGCATACTGGATAAAATTCTGAGCCAGAAGGCTGGATAGACTTGAGTTCACATCCAGCCTCAGGTACTTACTAGTTGTGTGACCCTGGGCAAGTCACTTAAACCTCTGACTCAGTTTCCTTAATTATAAAATAGGGATAATAATAGCACCTACCTCCCAGAATTTCTGTGAGAGATTTTCATAAAGTACTTATCACAGTGCCTGGCACATAATAGGTGCTTTATAAGTGCTTTTTTGTTTCCTTTCTTTTGGATAAGGCTTCTACTTTTCAGAAATCAGGGACTTCCTCTGAGCGGAGGCTTTTCTTTTCTCGCCCTGGTGAAATTTCTCTCACGAAATTCCCTGGTTTTCCTCTCTCTTGGCAGGTGTGCCAGAAGTCAGGTGAGATCTCCCTCCTGAAGCAGCAGCTGAAGGAGTCCCAGACAGAGGTCAATGCCAAGGCCAGCGAGATCCTCAGCCTTAAGGCACAGCTGAAGGACACTCGGGGGAAGCTTGAAGGGATGGAGCTGAAGACCCAAGACCTGGAAAGCGCCTTACGGACCAAGAGCCTCGAGCTGGAGGTGTGTGAGAATGAGCTGCAGCGCAAAAAGAACGAGGCGGAGCTGCTGCGGGAGAAGGTTAATCTGCTGGAGCAGGAACTCCTGGAGCTCCGGACTGAGGCTGTTCTTCTCCGCCAGGAGCGCGGCCGCAGGGGCGAGGCGGAGTGGGATGGCGCCTGCCCAGGGGCCACTGGCCCAGAGGACATCCCTGCCTTGCAGAGGGAGCTGGAGAGGCTTCGGGCGGAATTGAAGGAAGAGCGGCAGGGCCACGACCAGATGTCCTCCGGCTTCCAACACGAGCGGCTGGTGTGGAGGGAGGAGAAAGAGAAAGTGATCCATTATCAGAAGCAGCTGCAGCAGAGCTACCTGGCCATGTACCAACGTAATCAGAGGTTGGAGAAGGCCCTGCAGCAGTTGTCGAGGGGGGAGGGGGGTGCCGAACCCTTGGAGATTGACATCCAGGGCGCTGATGTCCCCTATGAGGATATCATTGCCACTGAGATCTGAGGACCCCGGGGTAGGGAGGGGTGGGGAGGCAGAAAAGCTGGACCCATCCAAGAAAACATATCCCTTGCCATTGCTCAGTTGGGCTATACTGGGAGAAGCCTTTTCTTCTACACTGTTGGCCAAGTTATTCCCATCTCTCCCATCCCTCTCCCCCAGCTACCAGAGGTAGAATGTAACTTGCCGAGAAAAGACACGTGAGACTTGATGCTATGGTCAAACCCTCACCAAGGTGTCTGTATCAGTCTGTGTTGAGCTGGTCATCATGCCCCTGACAGCCATCCCAGGAGTATTATAGCCATCCCAACCTCCCCTCTACCTTTAAGGACACCCAGAATTCTCCTCTTGCCCTGAAAAGATTTTTTTTTTCTCATGAAGACACTAATTTGCCTTGGGATGGAGAAAAGCCATTACTGACCAGGAGCCTTGGAACCACACCCTTGCTAGGGAGAAACTTTTTCGGATATCCTGAATTGTTTCTCATTTATCAAGAATAAGTTTCCTCAATGGTTCCAGAATTCTTTGAAGTCCAGCAGATCCTCCTCTTGCCCCCAGAAGAAGACTCAATAGAAAGAATGGCTCCAAGAATGCCAGGGATAAAGTTGGGAGAGGCCTCAGAGTTTAGGCAAACCTAAGATGAAAGAGGAAGGTGATTCAATCACAGGGAACAGTGATAGGAATGGCCAGTCTATGGCAACACTAAAGCCAGGGGCTCACTCATGCCAACTCTAGCTCAACTTCCCTGGCCAGGATGCTACCTGGCCAGAGAAGGTTGTTCTCTCTCCAAAGATGGCTGCTAAGCTTTGACTTCAGTGACCAGTCTCCCCAAAGCTATGGAAACCAAGGGACTGGACTTCAGAGAGGAAAAACAAATTTCAGAGTTTAGTGTCTTCCCAGGGTATTCTGAAGCAGGGATTTGTACTGCTTTTCCACCGTCCCAAAAACAGCTACCAATTTTTTCCAGACAGACCAGGGGAGTGGATTTCCCTGCTGATTCCAAGCTAGAAACCTGCTGCCTTTGACCATTCTTCCAACCAAAGTTGGAAGTAGTCCCTTAGTGTCTAGAATCATTGATGATCACCACCATTTCCCATGTAACTGCTGGGGTTTTTTTCTTGACTCTTCATCCCCGGCCTTATTCATTCTCCCACACCCAACCCAGCCCAATTGTTGGGTGGTATCTTTAGTGCCAATTCTTAACAAGTTTCAGTACCACGCCCAAAATACCATTGGGCCAGTGATACTGGAGCTGAAGATGGAAGACAACCTCACATCCACCACTCCTGAGTCCGTCAAATAAACCCACAAACACTCCACCGATCCTCCCTCCACCTCACAGAAACATGGATACCAAAAAGTCAGGCCAGCAGGATTGGCCAGAATCCAAGAGACCTGGAAATCAGAAGACTTGGGCTCTGACCTGGCACTGCTGCTAACTAGCTGTGTATCCTTGGAAAAATTATTTCCCTTCTCCTGGACTTCAATTTTCTCTTCTGTAAAATGAAAGGAGTGGAATAGGTGATTGTGAAGTTTCTTCCCAGATTTAAAAATCTGTGAGCTGTTTCTTCCCCCACTCCCACCCCTTCAGTTTCTAGGACATTGAATTGCTTGGTTTGGGAGTTGTTAAAGGATATTTTCCCCCTCTCAGAAGCAAACAGCAGACCTAGCAGGCAGCAGCCGGCTGTTCCCCAGTCTATTTTTGCCTCTAGCTGCAGATGCTGTACTTGCAACAGCCATCTCCCTCCAAATCTCGGAACTGTATACCCAGCACTTCCCAGGGAGACGTTTCCTAGGGAAGCGATGGGGAGGTAGCAATTGAGGTTCTGGAAATTTTAAGGGTAGGCAGTTCTCCCTACTCCCTCATTTCCTCTACATTGACCTGCTTCTTCCAGAGAAACGCCTCCTGCCTCTTCCCTCACTCATAGTTTCCTCCTTGCTCAATCCAAGTTCCAGGATGAAAGATTAGAAGCCTAGTTCCCCATGGTCTGTCCAGGGAGTCCCCAACATTCCTTTGAGTCCCTAGTGTCAGGTATCATAAATCAAAGCAGGTGGGTTAGGGCTGTGAGTGAATAACCTGCTAGGAGAGGAAAAAAATCACCTTCCCCAAGCCCACACACAATATGACCCTTGACATAGAAGAATTTGCTCAGGAGCTCAGTTCTTGCCGAGCTTTATAATCATGGCTGGTTTGGGACTCAATTTGAACCTAGAATTCCAAAACCAAATATCCTTCCTTTGCCATAAGGGCAGGACTCTGAGGGATACCCAAGTCCCAAGCAGCTAGTAAAAGACCTCACCTTCCCAATCCCAAACCCTTTCAAGCCAGTTTGTGCCTTGTATGATTCCAAATCTTCCCACTCAATCTTATAGCAAAAACAAAAACAAACAAAAAATTGGGTAGAAAGAGAGAACCAACATTTCTTCTTTGAATTGATGCCTATCCAGGAGAAAATAACTCCCAAAACACAAAGGGTTCTTTGTGAAAGGCCTCATCCAATCAATTAATAAATATTAATTAGCACCTACTTGCCAGGCACCGTGCTAGGCCCTGAGGGTACAAATACAAATAAGAGAGGGATGCTTCAGCCTTAGGAAAGGTTTCTCTGAACCCAAAGACCAAGACTTTAACAAACTCTCAACAAATAAGAGAGCTCTCCCAATCTCCCCCACAGCCATACTCCAGGCTATACCAGGGATTTGGGCCTTTGATTAGAGGGAGGCCCTAACTGGATGGCCTTTGAAGCCTTTAGCTCCAACATCCTTAGGTACAAAGATGCCTTTCCCTGAGGGCATGGCCCAGTGCTAAGGTCTATACCCTTTGTCATGACAGGAGTACTGCTGCTTTCTGTAACATAGCTAGGTCAGGTGGACTTGATTTCCCTTTTCTTGGCACTGGATGAAAAGTCCTTGGTGTCCTTGGACTGTATCAACCTGGGCACCTCTAAAATAAGGAGAACAGATGAAGGTGGGCAAGCATCCCATCCTTTGGGAAGTCAAGGATGGGTGGGGGCAAGAGGGTTAACTGTTCTGGTTCCTTTTACCATGTGAAATGTCCACCCTGTGGCCCTTCCCTTTGGCAAAATTCTTGTTCCTCTTATCCCCTGACTGCTTGCTTGTTTCCCAAACCATCCCCTGTGCTCCCAGAGGAATGAGGATGGCTGGCCAGAGAATAAATGCTTATCTGCAAAGCCATAACCCAGAAAGCCCATCTTCTGACCAAGAGGGGAACTTTGCCTGTATGCTTTGGAAACTGACCCCTGCAGACTCTGTCTTCACTGCAATGACTGGATGCCTTTCCCGAATGTCTTACCCTCTCCCTTGTGAGCTGCAGCTATGGGCACCTGACTCCAACCGATCGTAAACATATAGGTTGAATTTGAAATATGCTGTTTCAGGAGGCTGCCTCTGCTCCAAGATCCAGGGGTTGGCAACTAGAAGGCCAGCCCCAGCTGCAGAGGAAGAAGTATCTAAGTGAACGTCTAGGATAAAGGCCCAATAAGCCAGGACCATTCCCTCCTTAAAGTTCTCTCCAGGAGCCTGGTGAGACAACAGGCAGGAAGAATTGGAACTGTCCCTAGAGGAGGCACTTGGGTGCAGAATCTCCTGCCTGCCCAACAGCTATAATCTGAGCCAGTGCCCCAGAGCTGTGTGGGCAGTGCCCGTGGGGAACCCTGAAGCCTTTGCATCTGCCCTGGCAGCAGCCGCTCCTGCCTGCTGCTATCACTGCAGGCTGTGCAGGGGACCTCCCCAGGAGGACATTCCCCCTCCCCGATCCCCACTTCCAGCTTCTGGAGGCCCATGTTTTGTTGGACATGTAAATAGACTTTTGTTCCCTTTGTCGTTTTTTTTTTTTTTTTTTTTTTTGGTTTGGGGCAACTCTTTTATTCTATTTTTCATGTCTTCTTCCAGTCATGTAAATGGTTCCTTGTAATTTTATGTTTTAATTTATAAATAAAGAATGCCATATCTCCCTCATGGATGTGCCTGCTCCTCACCCTTCCTAGTTCCATCCCTGCTGCCCCTTACTCAAGTTGTTTCTGAGTTACCTGCCCTGGAGACAGTAAGTGGTTATAAAGAAAGTACTGGCAGAAAGGGAAAAAGTTCTCCACCCCACCCACCTTCAGGGTGCCATGGCTACCCCAAGTGCTTTGCTGTGATATAACTGGGGCATAAGAATTCTTCCCTCCCCTTTTCTCTGGGGAAGTCTATCTTTGGAGTTCTCACCCTCAGAACCCATACCTCATCAAAATCATATGTTATTTTCAGTCTGTGAGTGAGGGAAATTAAACTATATTGGGGGGAAGAGAGAGAGAGACTCTTTTCTAGTGGTTGGGAAAGAGTTTGGGATAATTTTTCTGATATTAACACTCAAAGGGTTAACCTGCTTTGGTTTTGGTTTGATTTGGTTTTTTTTAAAGCAGAATAAAAGGAAGGGGTACAAAGTGACTTAGAGGACCCCATTCTCCTTCCTCTCTAACCCCAACCCAATACTCAAAACATACTGATTTCTCACCTTCTTGGCCAACTTGTTGGTCTATTTGCATGAAAAAAACACCACCCCCCAGTTTTGCCAGTGGCTTTGTTGGGGACTTCTGGTCCTCCGTTAGCCAGAACCCCTTTGTCCTGGAAGGGAATGGAGGTGTCTGGGGAAGGGAGGGAGGTAACTGAAGCAGCCATCTGTCCTGCCTGCCTAAATGAGCTGCCTGGCCAACTCTCCGTCTTTGTCAGCATCTCCTGAGCACCTGCTCCTTCACCAGAGTCCAAGCTCAGCTGTGTGGGATGCAAGAGAGAGCCAGGATACAGGCCCTGACTTTAAGGAGCTCGGAATCTAACTGAGAAGCACAGCATGGGCACAGAAAGTTAAAACGAATAAGTTCCAAGATGGCATGGGCCCATAAGCATGGTAATAGGCAGTGAGTTCATTGGAGAAGGGAGTTGTCCCCTTCCATTGGAGTGTTCTCTATCAAGAGGCAGCTAGACCCTGCAGATAGAACACTGGCCTAATAGGCAGGAAGCCCTGGGTTCTAATCCTGCCTTACGCTGCTTCGGTTTCTTTATCTGTAACATGGGAATGATAATAACACATTACGTAGAGTAGTAGTGAGAATCAAATGAAATAATTGATTTAGATCTGGAAAAAATTTCAGAAGGCATCTAGTCCAGTCTTCTTATTTTACAAATGAGGAATTAAAGCCCAGGGGGGAGATTTTCTGGCTGAGCTGGTTATTTCTTTGTGGAAAATCACAGTAGGCAAAGATGCCATGGATGTTACGTCATTAGGAATTCTCCAAATACTTTAGATTGCCTGATGCTGTTGCTGTTAAAACCAAAATGACTTTAAATTCAGGGCCACCAGCATTTGGATCTTACTATGAAAACCATGGTTATTAACTGGAAAACTATCCTCCAGGGCACCTTGTGAATACTAAGGCTTATGTACCTTACCCAGCTCCATATTGCCCTTCAGCAGTGCCACAGTACATCCCAAGAGTTGTTACTCATCCCTCAACACCAGCAGCAGTCCATTTACAACCAAAATCTTCATCTGGGATCATGTTTACTTCAAAGGCTAAGAAAATCATATATGTTGTCATTAGCATTGGAATAATACTAATTGGTGCTGTGATTGCAACTATCTTTCTTTGGAAGTTTGTGAAAAATAGCTGCCCAAATTCTGGAATAGTATGTGGAACTTCAGGAACTTGTATCAGTCCAACTAATTGGTGTGATGGAACGTTGTCCCGGTGGTGAAGATGAGAACCATTGTGTTTGTCTCTATGGAGTATCCTTCAGGTTTACTCATCTCACAACAAATCCTGGTATCCTGTGTGCCAAGATGATTGGAAAGATCACTATGGAAAGATAGCACGTAAAGACATGTGGCATAACACGAATAGTTTTTTACTCTAGTCGAGGAATAACAGCTGATAGTGGTGCCACAAGCTATATGAAGTTGAACCTGAGTGCTGGAAATGTAGTATGGCCCTGGAGTCCAAGGACCTGAATTCAAATCCAGCTTCAGGCCCTTACTAGCTGCATGACCCTGGGCAAGTCACTTACCCCTGTTTGCTTCAGTTTCCTCATCTGTAAAATGAGCTGGAAAAGGAAATGGCAAACCACTCCAGTATCTTTGCCAAGAAAACCCCAAAAGGGGGTCATGGAGAATCAGAAATGACTGAAACAACTTGACAACAACAAATTGAAGTCCGGAGTGGTTGTGACTTAGACAAGGTCACAGAAGTATGAAGTGGAAGAGCGAGTTTTCCACTCCAAATTCTTCCCACTGTCCCACCCTGCTTCTCACACTCTAGAAGTGCTATATTAATACCAACTTTTATTATTTCTATCAAAAGTGGGACTTGACCTAGACCTGTGAAAACAAGCATTTGGATACGCAAAGAGAAATTACAAGCCTTGAGAACAGCTCATGGAATGAATTATAAATTGTCAGAGCTGGAAGGGACCTGAAAGATACTCATCCGACTTCTTCATCGTATACATGAGCCCCCAAGATGGGAGGCAGTCAGCTCAACACCATGCAATTCGTTAAGTGGGAGAGCTTGCACTGGAACCCAGGGCTCCTGGACTAAGGTCCTGCTCTCTTTCTATTTTATCACGCTGCTTCTAGTGATAGTAGATAGTAGCAAAAAGTCCAATTTACCTGGACGCTTGCTGGCTGCCAGGTGATGTAATAAATAGAGCAGTGGAATGGGACTTAAGAAGACCTGAGTTCAAAATCAGCCTTAGAAACTTACGAACTATATGACCTTAACCCCATTGCCTCCAAAAAAAAAAAAAGTAATAATAATAGCACCTACCTCCCAGGGTTGTTGTGAGAATCAAAGGGGATAAAATGATAAAGCCCTTAGCATAATGCCTAGAGCACAGTTGACACCTAATAAATGTTTATTTCCTTCCTTCTTTCTAGAAAAAAGTCCTGCACTTGGGTTTGAAACACATACTTCACAAATACAGTAAGGGGGAGACATGGCTACACCCCAGAATATCATATCCTGCTCTCTTCTGCCCCGGGTTGACAGTGTCTGGAGAACTGTGTTTAGTTCTTGGCACCTTGTTTTAGGAAGGACATTGGTGGGCTGGAGTATGTTTAGAGAAGAGAATGATCAAGATATTGAAGGGATTGCGACCAGGCTGTAAAAACATTGTTTAAAGGTGCCAGCAGAAAAGTAGACTTAGGGAGGATCATAGAACTATAAAATTAGATCTGGAAGGGACCTCCAAGGTCACCTAGTCTGACCGCTTCACTTTACAGCAGAGTACATGATAGATGTCTTCAAGAATTAAAAGAGCTCTCTCATGTGGGAGAGGGATGAGATTTATTCCCCTTGGCCCCAGTAGGCAGAACCAAGGAGCAATGGGGTGGGTCTGTCCAGAGGCAGATTTCAGCTCCATATAAGGAAAAACTGCCTGGAGAGGATTAGGGAGGGTTTCTAGGAGAAGTTTGTCAAGGGTGATGTAAATAGGATTCCTGTTCAGTGACAGGTTGGCCTTGATGGCCTGGAATGCCCCTTCAAACTCTAAGAGTCTGGGAAGGTTCATGCAATGAACTCCCAGGACACCATTCTCTCAACTGATTAGAGAGGAAGGTTGGGACCAGACTCTGGACTTCCTTGAAGGTCTGGATGAAGAGTTTGGAATTTATTCTTTAAGGAACAGGAAGCTTCCCCCTCTCCTTCATTCCTCGATTCTTTCTCTTGCTCCCTCCCACACAGATCTCTAAGAACAAGCTGCCCCAAAGTGACATATTCCAGGGGACCTTTCCCAGAGATAGTAGTGAGTGTAGAAGCAGCACAGCAGTGGTGAGTGGACTTGCCTTGGGGGCAGAAAGATCTCAGTGCACAGGAAGGTGTACTTTGCCATTTTGCCAACAATGGCCATGGAAATATTACCACTGGATTTGTCCACACGCAGAGTGTGTATGTATGTGTATGTCTGTGTACATATATATAGATATATATATGTGTATGTGTGTATGTATATGTATATATAGATATGTGTATATATGTATATATACATGTATATATACATACAACATACACATAAATGTATGTATATAGTATATATTGTTGTTGTTCAGTTGTGTCTGACTCTTCATGACCCCATTTGGGGTTTTCTTGACAGAGATATTGGAGTAGTTTGTCATTTTCTTCTCCAGCTCATTTTACAGATGAGGAAACTGAGGCAAATAGGGTTAAGTGACTTGCCCAGGGTCACACAGCTAGTGTCTGGAGGCCATATTTGAAATCAGGAAGATAATTCTTCCTGAATCCAGGCCTGGTGCTCTATCTACTGTGCCACCTACCTGCCTTCAGGGGTGGTAGTATTACTTGAAGGATTTAAGTTCTGTCTTTGATATACTCAGCTGTATGCCAATGGATAAATCACTTAGCCTCTCACTGGACCAAGTGCCTCCTTAAAACTATAAGCTACAGAAGACTTGTGATTTACATCACATTTGCAAGGTGTGTAAGGAATTTCTCACATTGAAGAAATTAAGGATCTGGACCAAAAAAAGAAAAGGAAGCAAAGATAGAGTCAGTCAGTCAATAAGCATTTATTAAGCACCTACTGTATTCCTGGCACTGTGTTAAACACTGTAGATACAAAGAAAGGCAAAAGATAGTCCTTGCTCTCAAGGAGCTTACAGTGTGATGGAAAAGACAATATGCAAACAACTCCATAAGCAAGCCATACAAAGATAATTTAAAGATAATCAACAAAGGCAAGGTATTAGGCTTAAGAAGGGATTGGGAAGGCTTCTTAGAGAAGGTGGAATCTTAGTTGTGACTAGAAGCCAGGAAAGCCAGAAGGCAGAGATGAGGAGAGAGAGTATTCCAGGCATGTAGGATAGCCAGTAAAATTATCCGAAGTCCAAGAATGGAGCGTCTTGTTTGAGAAAAGCAAGGAAGCCAATATCACTGAATTGCATAGTACATGGTATAGTG